ATGAAGTAACATTTTTCCCACAAACATATACAATAAATGTCTCCCCGTTTATACCTATATGGACCCTTTAATATTTTTTTATTATTAGGCAAGCCAAAGCGACTAACAATGTGACAAAGTAAAACAAACAATATTGAAAAAAAAAAGTATTACATGGCCATTCTAACTCACAGGCTAGCTCAACATAATTAAAAAAAGCACTATTTTTCCACTACACCCACTGCAAAATAAAAATAATTAAAATGTAAAAAAAAAATATACAAAAGAGGAAAACAAAACAAAAAAAAGAGCTACGAGAATAGAAGTAATAGCTAATTTGGTCGACAAGAAATTTCTAAATAATTATTAAAACAGCTCTAGATAACTTCCTATCAGCCAATGCGAATGAGTAAAGCCATACTTCAGTCAGTAGTCAGTCTGCCCCCATAGCAGAAAAGTTAAGGAAAAATTGCAGAAAAATAGTAATAATTTTTGTTCACCTGATGAGGAACATATGTAGATCAATATTTTAATTTCCTTAACTTCAATCTTATTATTAGTAACTGCAACTTAACATGATGTATACATGCGCATTATGTAATAGTATATAAAATAAAAATAGAAAAAAAGCTCACAAATATTTTTGTACAGATTTAACTTTTGTACGATTCCATTGGAAAAAAGTTAATAAATTGAGTTTTACAGTGACAACTATTGAGGTTAAACTATTTTTGTCATATTACATAGTACCTGGGCTAACGAGCTTCGCTCGGAGTTTTTGGCCTAAAGTACAATTTTCATTTTTTTAAAATAAACTAAAAACCTAATAAATATAAACAAAAACAAAAGTAAAAACTTTGTATGCTACCGAGATTCGAACCTGGACAACTGTGATTGTTGATCTTGCACCTTGGCCTCTTGCTTGACCTCGATCAAGACTTAGACCACGATGCTTATGCCCGACCGTGCAAATTAGTGACCATATTTTGCGTGAAATAATGCAAAAGAAAACTGCATGAAAACTCGAAAACACATATTTTCTCAGACATAAGACTAATCTATATCGATTTGTCGCCCCCGAAACTCCCTGTGTACTAAATTTAATGAAAATCGTTGGAGCCGTTTCCGAGATTGAGATTATATATATACAAGAATTGCTCCTTTAAAGATATAAGATATAATATACATATTGTATACTTGTACATACATAATATCATCAATATAAAACAGTTAGCAAACACGATATTCCTAACGATGACGAAGTTTGAGTATAAACTGAAATTACTTGTTAATTAATAATTGAAACTTCGTATAGATCCTTGGGTAAATCGCCCCGATATATACCAAGGCCTGTTATTGCTTGTAACAATTAATATGTTGTAGCGATTGTTGAATATACTTAAATATTGTACCAAAAAAAGAAAAATAATAATAAATAATAAAGCAAATATATAGAATAAATAATTATAAAAATTATATTGAAATATTAATATACCTATTGAATTGGTTTGATATTGATTAAGGAGAATTCCTTATCCATCAACTTTTTGCCATGAGGAAAACATAGTTTATGTGATGTATGAATGTTTTAGTACAACTAAACGAAGAAGATTGTGTGAAACCATCGCATACATACATATACTATTAAGTATGACCTATTAGATTCTTGTAAGATCTTCCTTTGACCTATTTAAATTCAATGAATAAATCTATATTACAAATGGCCAAGTCGACATTGACGGTCTTAGAAACTTCAAGTTCGCTTTGAAAATGTCAGAATGTATCGTCTTCATTGTTATTCTATTGTCATACCTATATTTATTCTATAACTATATCTTATATTAATAATCATTGGTGAAGTTATGTCGAGTTAGTAGCATTACAAATTAAATGGAAATATAGAATAAACGGTGATAATAAATATATTTAAGAAAAACTTGTTTTAAACAACTGATATTTGATTTAATCTAATTGAAGAATATTGAAATCTATATGTACTCGTACATCACAAATATTTGAAATGCATAGTTGATCGAAGGCCTAAATAAAATTTAAAAAAGAACCTATAAATACAAAATTTTACACAAGAATCATCTATCAAGTGGTCAAAGGAGGTGAAAGTTTGTCACTTTGAAATTGGAAATATTAAAATTGCTTCTGTTTATGTTACCAAAGGGAAATTCCACCGGGCCTGCTTGTACCTACATAAAGTAGCTTGTCCTGACTGATTTATCAACGCCCAGATCTTATCACTGCGCACACCTATAGCGATGAAATATTTGTTGTGTTTTTAAAATAACAATCTGGTAAGAAAATATATTTACAAATTCAACCCTTGAATGTAATTTATTTCTGGCCATATATTTTTTTATTTTGTACGTACGTATTCCAATGCTTTTCAAAAGTTGCCAGCTAACTACAATACAAATATCCCGCCTCGCATACAATGTTCCACCGAGTGAAGCCAGGGTAAGTTGCTAGTGACAAAAAACATAGCAAGTTGATAATCCTATATTACTTAGCTTTCAAAAGATCTGTGGGCAAAGTAGTAATTAAAGCTTTTTTTTTATTTAATAAAAACTACTCAACGTATCTTCTTTAAAATGATTTTTGTTGAAATTATTTCGGAAGCTCAATTGTCTAATTGATACTAATTATATATTTTTTAAATGACATTGTTTTCTATTCCCTATACTTCGAAAGATAGACTGAGAAAGAATGTTTACGACTTTACTAGCACATAACTCTGCAATCTATGAATCTTGAAGACCTGTACAGAGACTGCACGCTTACATTTACTTAAAAAAAAATTCTCCCTTTAGTTACATGTAGCTGTTTACAGCCTACTCGAATAAAATATCTGTGACGTATGGACCGACTGACATGACGAAATTAAAGGGATCCCGTTTTAGAGATTTGACTAAATAATCCTAAAAATGTTTGGTGCATCGTACTTGTCACATGTGTAAAAAATGAAATGTGGTTGTTTCGTTAAAAATATTATTTAATACTAAAAAAGCCTCTCCACGTTCATTCTTATATTCATATTGTTAAGTAAGTTTTAAGTACTAACATGGCACTTGATCGTATTTTAGTTACCCTTTAAACGTATGAAGCTTTCCTATTGTTAAAAAAGCTCAATAACTGTACATGGCCCAAATTAAGAGTTAACCAGTCTCCGGACCTGCAACCGTACATTTGTATAAGAAAGCAAGCTAATGATTACAAATTTAAATGAAACTTAATTACATTTGTAATGTAGATTTTCTTTCGTATAACATAAATAAATTCTATTGGTGCCCATCCTTCCTTGAGAGATGCACCATAATACATGTAGGGTTTAAAAAAAATTATAAGCACTTGGTAGGCTTCTAGACACAATTTTGGATTTTAATTACATTTATAATTTTCCTATATCTAAGCTTTAAAGAAATACTAACATTATTTTTAATTTTAAATGGAATTGAATAAGTTTAATCTATAATTTTTCATAAGATGCTATTTTAAGTTTTTATATTTACGGTTCTAAAAAATTTACTTATCTGTTATATTTATTTTGTCAAAGAAAAGCCAAAGTAAATGTGAAAAATTATTTTGCATAATTTTAATAGAATCATTCAATAAATGAAGTCATACTATAATTTTAAATATGATGCTTCGTATTCTCATTCACATTTTCTTTTTTCTTGTAATTCTTAATATATTTTATACTACTCTATCAGTGGGATTTTATTTTCAAATATTAAAACTGTTGAAAAGTCCCGTAAATGTCAGCAAATATTAACTCGAAGAAAGGTAAGAATGTGAGTTTTAAACTTTCTATTGAACGTAGTTTACACATCACTTAAACTTTTTAAAGCGTTCCTCGTCGAACTACTTTAGTAAGAATTTAGAATATTGTAATGGAATAAAACTTTTATATTGGTACAATTTATCTCATATATTTCTGTCATTTTTCATTTTTTATTGAATGATATTGTGTAGAGTTAGTTTTCTAGTCATTACAATCTGTTGTATACATTATTGTGCTAAACAATCCGATTATTTATTTCTAAGTAGCGACTCACCCTCGCGCTTTAATTTTTTTGAGCAGAACCCTAATTCTTTTCCTAAAATAAAAGTAGCCCATTATCTTCCATTATCTTCCAGTAAAAGTCCCATCAAATCAGTCTAGCCGTTTCAGAGATTATCTGGAACAAACACACAGACAGACAGAAAAACTAAAAAATAAAAAATTGAGTTTTTCTTATAAATACCATATATAAATAATTTCATATGCATTTAGTAAAACGCTGTTATTTTGACATTACAAACATACACTTCAATTTTATTCCTCTGTATAGATTTTTTCTCCTTATTATGTACCTTAAGGAACATACGAAAAAAAAATAGCTGAATTGGTCGAGCCGTTCTCAAGTTTTACGCTTAGCAACATTCATTTTTATTTATATAGATAGATAGAGAGACTAGATAAACGTACAATATTATTTCCCTTTATTGTATCGTTTATTCTGTGATTATACATAAAGGCGCAATAGAGCCTTCATCGGAAGGACCGTCAAATCGCCGCTGAAGGACTTTTTTATCTCATATCCGTCATATGACGTTTTCCATGTCGCCGCTGTCATGTGATATGTGTCTCTTTAGGACCCGCACGATTTTGATATTTAAGTAACTATATAGTGTACATATATCTTACGTTTCAGTCAAATTGGAGGAAAGGGACTGTCCACCAATTACAATTTATCGCTCTGCTCTATGTGATCTCTACCTGTTTATAGTTTTATAAATAAAATAACGCGAAGCTTAAAAACAATATCTTTTTCGTTCTACTTTTGACAATAGTACTATCTTACCATAATAATGATTATACGTAAAAAAATGATTTAGTATTAAAAATTTAATATCAAAAATTATTAAATATAGAAGTAAATACAAGTGTAATTAATAAGGTTCATATTTTTAAACTTGTATTATTAATAATGAATAAAGCGAATACTATAAGAAATATTTATTTTCAGGTGGAAACAGAAGGTGGTGTCGTCGCTCCACCCCCGTCACTCCCACTCTGCCCCGCCGGGAAACCGGATGTTGATGCACAGCCATTGCTATGTGAAGGTAAGCTTTACAGTTTTATTATTAAAGCATGGAAAACATACAATCATTATACAACAATATTCGCTTTATTTAAACACTAATGGCAAATAGTACAAAAAGCGAAAATGGCATAACTCATTAAGTAGAGTAACCGTATTATGACTACGCCACTCTGAATTATTATGCAAATGGCTGTCTAGTAGTCAATATTAAAGCCAAACCAAGAGTATACGCAAAATTTATAATACCAATACAATAGAATCAATACAATGCATATAAATCTATTGAAGTGCTGCTTTATAAAATTTACCAGGAAAAGGAAACGAACAATGAGCTCGTATTCAGTTTCCAATAAAGCTTTAAAAGAAACCAAAACAATTCGTGATTTAGGTGTTTTATTTGACAGTAATTTGCGTTTCGATGCTCATATTGATATCATTGTCACTTCTGCGTTAAAGTCGTTGGGTTTCATTATTAGACAATTTAAAGACTTAAAAAATATCAACCATGATTCGACTTTATAACTGATAAGTAAGCTTGAATATTGTTGTCAAGTTTGGTCCCCATTATATATATAAAGTGTATATTGATCGCATTGAAAAGGTCCAAAAAAGATTTGTTAGACATTTATCTTATAGTATGAGAAGACCTCTAAGAAGCTATAGTGTTCAACTTAAGTACTTTGAATTGCAACCTCTACATGTACGAGGAAATATATTGGACCTAATCTTTCCGTATAAGCTTTTTCATAACGAAGTCGATAGTAGTTGTCTGTCGAAATCCATGTCAATTTCTCGAAACGAGTAGAAGCAAAACTAATTTAGGAAAATATCGCCCATTAGCCCGAATGTCGCAAATATTTAATGCAATACCAACAGCAGACATGGGTTTCGACACATTTTATACTTTTAAAAAGAAATGTTACGCTTTCTATTCATGATGTAAATATTTATCATAACAAAACTATTTATTATAAATTTTTATATTTTTTAATTTGGTTTTGTTCATCAGTTTAGTCAGATTTAGTTTCACCTGTGAACTTTTAGCAATGCAAAATATCACCATTGTTCTAGTGCATGTTGTGTACTCCAGTAATTGGGTGTACATTTTAAACACTGTTCAAAGAGTTTCTATTTTTTGTATTTTTATATGTACTTCTGTTGGAGATCCTTAATAAATAAAGAAATAATTGAATAAAGAAATAAATAGTCATCTAGTTCTTTTTATATAGCCATTGCTGCAAATAATAATAATAGCGATAATATTATAGATAGACTATTATATGTACATATGTACGATTAGTTTTATATTCCTTACATAAGAAATGATTAATTCCCCATATCCACCCTTTTCATCCCCTTAAGGGATAAAAATTATACTATGTCCTTCCCAGGGTCTCAAACTATCTCCATACCAAATTTCATCAAAGTCAGATCTGCAGGTTAAGAGCGAAAAGATAACAGATAGACAGACAGAGTTACTTTCGCATTTAAACATTAGCATGGATGGATTGTTACAAAATTCATGAATGATAATAATGTTGATAGTTATAAGTTATAATAGATAGATAATATATTTTATTGTTATTTTCTACATTACTTGGGTACCATTTATTTATGAAAGTATTGAGACAGAGCTGTCTATTGAAAATGTTTTGAAACAATTCTGTGTAAAATCGAACTTTCAAACAATTCCGTGTAAAATTTGATTTTCCAAACTTTGAGAAGACCGAGCGGCAATAGTATTGTGCAGTTATCAACTGCAACAAAACAAACTTGCCTATCCCTGTATAAATATTTTAGGTAGCCACGGTACAGATTATATAATTGGCACAAAGTTTTGACTGTTCAATCCATCATTCATTTTTCAAACAACTTTTTTGTTTTTTTTATATAGATATTAAGCTATAAATCTATACATATAATAAAATTCTACCTAAGACGAATCTGTACATTAAATATTTTTTGGAAAATCGTATTGAAATAGACATTATTAACGATAGAGAGGCCGAATCTATAGTTTTTAGAATTTTTGTCTGTCTGTCTGTCTGTTAGCGCATCACGGGAAAACCACTGGAAGGATTTTGATGAAATTTGGTATGATGGTAGCTGGTTATCCGGGTCAACATATAGGACACTTTTAACAGTGAGAAAATGTCTCATTTCTGAGAAAAAAATACAAAAACTGCAATATAAGAGTATACTAATATGTAAAACTTAAAAATTTGGTTTTTGGTCATCTGAACGCGGGCGGAGCCGCGGGCAGTGCTAGTATTCTATAAATGTCATTGACCAAATTCATACACAATAATTTATTTATTTTACTGAATAAGATTTTTTTATAAGATGTACTTCAATACAATTTATGGAATAAAGACTTAGTAGCATGTTTTAATGTAGAAAATCTTCGAGTGTTATTCCTAGAATCAGTGTTTAGAACCAAAGTTGTCAACATTAGTGTTACAGGGAAAAGTCGAGTCTAGGCTACAACAGCGCTTCATACGTGTTCTGATTCTTTTCATAACAACGGATATAAAATATAGTGTATATTCTCACACACAATGAACGTCTACTTGCTTCCAGGAAATAAAATATAATATACAATTGATTTTAAAACTTGTTCTCACATTGAATTTTTCTGAAACTTTATGGACTACAAATCGTTTTCATTTTTCCCTACCTATCTTTTTTATGTTAAACCGTTGTATTTATATTATGCACATGTTTATTGAAAAGCTACGAATATGGACAAATAGTTGTTGAATTTTCAAAAAAAATTGTCGTGTTGGCATATATAATGATTTATTGGTTTTATAGGTATTAACCTATACGTATTATATGATTAATCATAGAATTAAAAATGATCAAATTTTGTGAATCATCATTATGGCGTCCTTTTTGTGCATCTTATAACATATTCGAATAAGAAGGACCCTACTATTAGTAAATAGATCCAAAGCAATACTCTAATATATTTTTTTTTAATATTTTAAATAGCTTATGCAAATTTGTTTAACGACAAATAACAAGAAAGTAAAAAGCAAATTTACTAAGAAAAATGCATTACGTGATCCAAGGGTAGGCACCGAGTAACATCAATGGGAAATAAAAATACATTTGAATTGCTAATTGGAAAGAAATCTGAGAACGGCATTTTGTGACAAAAAGTTCACTTAGCTAAATCTACGCCCTTGGCACATATTTTATGAAAGAGAAAGGTTACACGTTGCTCTTTATGTAATCATGTTTTATCTATCTTAGCATTTACTCAAGTGCTTGATAATAACTTAACTTTAAATGAGGTAACAAAAATTATATTTAACTAGATATACGTATATTATTTAAAGACAAAAGACTAGTACTTTTAAGTAAATTTGTTTTCGTGTAGTGGTCGAAATCTGATGATAAACATTATTGAAAATTTAAGGAAAACATATATGAATAGAATATACCTATCTAGTATATAAATCACAAAATCGGTCGATAAATGGAGGAGGAAAAGGTAGCAGTAGCAGAACCCGCGGATTCGCTCGCGCTAAAGCTACAAAAAATCTCTAAAAAGTAGTTTAGTGTAGTTTAGGTAGTTTCATACAAACTTTCATCCCCTATTTTACCCCCTTACAGCATGAATTACGAAAAATGCCAAAACACGTATTTATTTAATTTTATTGAAGAGTATTAATACCAAGTTTCAAATAATTCTGATCATAAATAATTTTTTGAATTGTATTATAACGCGTTGTGGGAATTAGATAATCTCCCGCGGTAAAAAGTAGCCTATGTCCACTCTCCAGCCCTCCAACTATCTCTACACAAAAAAACATTTCAACATTTTAAAAATTCATCAATTCGATAAGATAAAAATAACGTGGATTTCAATGTTTTGAAAATAAACTTTTTTTTAGGTGGACTCTGTGAAGCGAGAAGACTTTTAAAAACCAAATCAATAAAAGTAAAATATTTACATACTAACATAGTACATATATATTAAAATACAATAACTCACAAATGCAATACTTATATACTGCTTTTATACTGGTTTTGTCTATTACACGGCTGAAAATATTGCTAACATTAACACACAAGCGTTGTTTATCATATAAATAATATTATTAGTAATAACAGCTTATACATACATATATGTGTTGACTTTGCTAAGTAATCGAAGTGGTTCTTAGTGAACATTAGTCGAAACAAATAAAAAATATTAACTATATTAATATTGATAACTGAAACAAATGTTAATATTTGTTTAGATAAAAAGTTTCTAAAACAGACATCTCTAGTAAAAATTGTACATAGAATATACAGACCATGATTTATTTCGATGAAGCAAAGAAAACTATTTCTGTTTTTCTATCTTTATTTATAGAACGATATACATATATAGCGAAATACATGTACATAGAAAAACTGGAATAAAGGTTTCAGTTTGGATTTTTGCATAAAGATGACAAGCTTTTTAATTTTGACCAGATAAATAATAATTGTATATGGAGTCGCATTTATCTTATTTTTGCCTATTATCGCTTGTTTCATGGCGTAGTGATTTGACACGTGGAAATTGCGAAAACTTCTGGCATTTAAAGTATTCGTCATTAGTTTATTAGATAACTAGCAGAACCCGCGACTAAAACTTTAGTCCCTCCCGTGACTATGATTGCTGTAAAGCATTCGAAATGTCGGGTATCAAAAATTCAAAATGATAGTTTTATTTAAATTCAAATATTTGCGTAAATCTAAGGAAGTATATTGTTTAAACAAAAAAAAACGTATGTGTGTGTACTTATGTACGCATGTAAGAAGTTAAACTTCTTTGGCGTAACAGAACAAAAATAGCTAAAGATTTCATCCTGTATGTCACAACTCTCTTGTTTGTAAAAGAAATGCAGCTGACTTCATCATGTCGCTTTTTGACTGTCGGTGTGCAGGCGCGTCGTAAAAAATTTACTCTTATATTTTTTTCCAAATGTGTCATATGAAGTATAACTTCAAAAATATAACATTATATTATATGGAAAA